AGACAGACAGACAGACAGACAGACAGACAGACAGACAGACAGACAGACAGACAGAGACAGAGAGACACAGAGAGAGAGAGAGAGAAGCGTCGAAATCTAGTCAACTTGCAAATCTGTTCTCGTTTATATTCCGATTTTTAAGTAATTGTGTTCGTGGTGGTTACGAAGCTAAAAGAATAAGAAAGAAAAGTTTAAGTTTAAGTATAAAAGAACTGCACCTGAATAACACGTTTGATTCGTAAAAATAATGACTTGTTCAAGCGATTAGTGACTTTACTGAGAAAATATATTGACAGATGTGCAGGCACGCGCGTATGTGCGCTGGTGTATGCATGTGCTATATTTTATGCGTGTGCATTTGAGCGTGCAGGAATAGGTCTATGCGTGAGCGTATCTTTGTCAATATTAACAATGTTTGGACGTCCCTCGTAACTCATTGGAGCAGAAGAAGATAGGACAAACGCGAACATTACTTAAACGCAATCCCACAGCATCATTCATTACCACCAATATTTATAAAATCATCATTGCTGTCATATAATTGACTTACATCTATAATCCTTGAATATCAGAATCTATCAGTAACAGTTACATGTCATACTAAGTATGCACGTAATACACTTTTGGACACTATCATGCCCACTTTTTTCTATTCATCATATTGCATCAATCTCATATAAATGGGCAAGAGATAAAAATTTTTTAATGTTTGGACGTGTTTTCTCGCTTGGATGATTTTGGGTATCCGTGTAAACTCGTGAGTCTATGTATAGAAGCTGTCACACTGCACTTCTTTTTTTTTTCTTCTTTTCTTTCCGGTCCTTTCCTTTCTTTTTTTCCTTTTTTTTTGTTGCTAGTAGAGGGGTGTCCGATTGTTGGAAATAATTCTGGAAGGTAAAAGTAATAGTAAACGTTTCGACCTTCCTTTCTTAAAATAAGTTAAAGACATCTTTCAGGCATGGTGTTGCGGCGACCCACTGTGCCCACCCCCACCCCTTCCTCGAGAGGAACAAGGACACTGGAAGTGTGTACTAGGTAAAATACGCTCCGAACGGGAGGCTAAAGTTTACTCTTGCCGTCTGGGAATAGACAAAAACAAGCCTCTGGCGTGAGAAGCGAGAGTTGTTTATTTGTTTTGACGTTTTGCAAGACGCGGTCACAGGATAGTTAAAGTTGTGCAGGGAAATAAAA